AAGGTTGACAAAAAGATTAAAGAGGAAGATTCAAAGAAAAGTCAAGACGCCTGCGTTGTGATAGGGAAAACATCTACTGCAATGGTTACTGTACACGTGGTTAATGTAGTTCTTTTTTTTGGGGAGGGGGTATAATGTTTATACTTTAGCTGTATATGTTCTGGTAAATCTCACAAAGAGTGTTAGAATAGGCCTGGATCTGTTACCTAGTGTCACAAATAGTGATGTATCCAGCGGGACTCAAGCACGTAGCAACAGCCCCCCCCCCCAGTTTTTTTCCCAACATTACTAATACATGTACTATAGAAAATGTTCATTGAAAGGTTGGTTGGCCCTTCCCCGACTTTCTATGTTGAGGAAATTGTAGTATTAAAAAAATGGTACTGAAAGAAGTTGGCATTGAAAAAAGTTTGCCTCTACAACTCCCCCCTCCCCACCACGAAATAGGATTTTCTTTCTCTGGCCCCTTCACTTTCAAAATCGATGTTACGTGGCTGGGACTATAGTTGTAAGATGAAGAACGCTGGAGGATAAGACTTTAGAAATTCTATATGTAGGCAAATAAAGTAAAGCATGTAACTGTAAGATATAAATAAATTCTACTCCCTAGCATATTAACAAACGAATCCTCTCAAAATACATCGACAATTCATCTCATCCGTTGAAAGGAATACTTCCCCCCCCCCACCCCCACCCCCCACCCAAAAAAAAAAGAAAAAAAAAACAAAAAAGAAAACAAAAAAAAACATCGATGTTGTTACTTTGAAGGCAAGAATGTTCTTCAGTAGATGTATTCAAATATAGTCTGCATATCAGTCATGTATAATCATGACCCTCAATAAATGATAGGTTTGAGTCCTTTTTTTTTTATTTGTGACAGAATTTTGGAAAACCTGGTTTCCACAGACATTACAGATTTCGTAAAATAAAGAGTTATAGATATTTAACACAAGAACATATTTCACAATCTGTCACCTTGCTCAATAGATCCACTTCGATTTAAACCGGCATATAACGTTTTTTTTCTGGATCACACTTCTTTCATGTACTTGTTCCCAATATTGTCCTCCATACATATTTTTTTTCCTTATAAGTGATTTCGTTTTTTCTTTATTTTTCTTTACATTTTTGCATGTCGGCGTGGAATATCAATATGATTTTATCAAACATGGTCAGTCTGTGGATGCTATGTGTTCTTATCGGAATTAATCATTCATATAGATACGGTTTGTGCTTATTTTTGTGTTTCATTTAATTAGCCTTACAATTAGGAAAATGAAAAATTATTGCATGAATTAAGGCAATCTTTTTTTTTTAATCTTATCATTAAACCATTATATTGGCACATGCGGCATGATAAGATACATGAATGCTGTTATAAAGCATTTTGTATATAGGACAAGTGGAACTTTTGTAAAGAATGGTATTTGAAAACGTATAAAACAAGACATTAAACCTGAATTATGCTCTGTTAATTATGGTTTTAAAAAAAATACATTTTTATTAGTCTATTCATTACATTCAGTCCTAAGAATAAATACAAATGTCACGTATTAACGCTTTTCAATGTAGTGATGGAAATTTCTTTTCAATCACTTTAAAGTAGAGCACTTATATTTAGTTAACATACCCATTAATTAAAAAGAAAAATATTCCTTTAAGAAATTACGGTCCATAAGATCATAAAAAAATCTTAGATTTGAGAGAGATATTAAGATTTTGATAAGATAAAAAGAAAAAATATTTCCAGAAATAAATAGAAATTAATAATTTTGATGAAAAAAGTTAGTAGACGATTTTAACGAGGCCGCTTTAATTTGAAGTTAAGAGAAATTACTACTTCCCTTTAGTTTTATTTTCGATATATATTTGTATAAACCATGCTAAAAAAAAAAAACGGGATTGAAACATCGTTACCTTAAAGTTGCCTTGCTTGTAGCGAAATAGGGGCAGTTTCAAAACATTGACATTTTTTGCGTTTTTACGCGAACGTATTGGCATTATAAATTTTATTTAAAAATGGAAGTGATAAAAATGAAAGGATTAAAGAATTTTAAACTGTTTTTCATTTTTCAGATATCACGCAATACCCTTTCCTCGTTAGCTATCCATTTTCATCCGTCGTTGTGCGTAGTGCTTTAACATTTGAACATTTGAAGCTTCTTCTCTGCAACCACTGAACCAATTTCAACCAAATTTTGCGCAAAGTATCTATAAGTAAGGGAGAACAAAAATTGTGAATTTTATGATCCCTGCCCCCTGGGGCCCGAGGGGTTTGGCCAAAACCACTAAAATATCTTCTTCTTTACTCCCGGACATCAAGCAGTCAAACTGTATGCATGATTGTAATCAGCATTGAGTCTTCTACAAAATTTGTGAATTTCATGACCCTGGGGTCAGGGGTTCTAGTGCTAGGGCGGGGTTTAATAAGTAAGAAGTGAAAATGCATTATCCCTTTGAAAATCTTTTTCTCTGCTCCTGGGTATTAAGTAAACAAACTAGGTACATAGTTATGATGAGCAAGAGTGCCTCTACCAGGGTAGGGAACAAAAAATGCATTTCAACTAATCAGTAATATTCAGCAATAATAGGTAGTGCCCCTACCACACATGAACCCCTGACCATTAGGCCAAGATCGACACATTGCACAATTTTTGAAAAGGCATCTTTGCTTTTCATACATATTTAGTTAATACCAAAAAGCATTTTTCTAATAATTCATTCATTTTCAGTATATTAGTACAGCCCCCCACCATGATACCCCTTGATTCCGGAGCCTTATTAGGGCTCTGTTCATCATAACTATATAGGTATTTCATCTGCTTAATACCCAGGAGCATAGAAGAAAATTTTCAAAGATTTAATGTATTTTCACTTTGTAATTAATAGAGCCCCGCCCTAACACCAGAACCCCTGACCCGGTGGCCATAAAATTCACAATTCTGGAAGAAGCATCCTTGGGCCTCTTGTTTTAAAAGACATGAAAAGTGAGGAGAGCCATTACTTTATTTAAATATGTTAAAAAGAAAGTAGATGGGTGGGTGGGTAAAAAGTCAATAAAAAAAAGAAAGACAAAATAAAAAAGACAATATTACTTAGTGATGGTATCAGTCTGATTAAATTTGACCGTTTTATATTAGAGGCAAGGTCACAGGTCAAGGTCATCATCTTTTCACTTAACATTTACCAATATTCGATGTCAACTTCTTTATCAAAAGATTGTTCTTTTTGCATAAAAAAGTTACTTTTATTTGGTAACTATGAGATGATTTAACTCATTGATATATAAAATAATTGTAAACTAACATGAATATTGGCTAACCCTAATTTTCTTTATTTTTTTAAGGATATATCAGTTATTTTTTATATGCTTCCTATATTTAATTTTTTTCCCTAATTTATGTTAACCCACTGACAATAGTTTAAAGCCGCTTCATCCGAAACAGGCACATATTATCTTTAACAATAAAAGTATGTCATTACATAGATAATATATAAAAATTAATTATAAGATTGATTTAATAGTTTATTACTACAATCCTTACATGGAAAACATAGACCAAAAACCTTGTTGACAAACAGCAGTTCCTGACGGGAAGTAAAGTTTAAAAAAAAAAACTTTCGGTTATTTCGGTTATTTAAGGAATGACTCTAATTCTTGGCCAAATTATTCGATGATAACCTGGTTTGGGTCAGTTTACGCTTTATAATCCGCGAAGCGGATTATAAAATAGCGTAAACTGACCCAAACCAGGTTATCATCGAATAATTTGGCCAAGAATTAGAGTCATTCCTTATAATTTAATTTTAAAATAATTAAACAACTGTGGGTGTAAAATTGTGTTGCTTTTTATGAGTTCAAATTTGCCGCTCAATAATACATCCCTAGTAACGGAAGTGATATGAAACAAGGGGAGGTAATAACCGATATACCGATCTAGCAGCCATGATGTTTATGTACACGAGGTAAGATCGAGCTACGTTTGAAGTTAAAGGTACTTTTAATAAATCTTGAAACTCCCATGAATTCCAAGGACTGGAAATGGGGGGATGGTATGGATACACTTGATTCAGCTGGTTGTCAAGGGGGTGTGTTCCCATACCAAACCAGGTTATTAAGAAATAATTTGCGTTCCTTTTTGGTGATCAACCAATGAGAGACCAGAATAAAAACAGAATTAAATTATTTCTTTTTATCACAAGCATATAAAACTTTTAAAAAACTTATTAAGGACTTCATCATTTTTTATAAAAAAGTATGATTATTTGTCATGTGACTACAGTTATATCTTCTGTAAAGAGAAATCAATGAGTTTTACTCATATGAAAGGACAGGTGATACAAAGAAAAAACGAGATGTTTGGATTGATATAATACCTTTTGAGCTTAATTCCGTGTAATGACGACGTACTTATTTCTAAAATACTGTGAGATTTCAATTTTTTTTTACCAGATTTTGTTGAATATGATGCGAAATTAATTTCTAAATATTGACTAAATGTAATCTTTCTTCGGTATTAAAGATTCCACCTTTCTCCAGCCGCCATTCCTTTTAATCGATTGATTATTTGTGTCACATTATATCGAGTAAATGTGAAATTTTGACAGAAAATGGAAACTTATACAGTTTATCTTATATATTTCATTCAAATAAACATGACAAGTTTTTCAAAACTTCTGATAAAAGGTCGTTTGTATCATTTGATTGGATGACCATATGTTTTGGCATGTAGAGTAAAAAAAAAACATCGTAGATGTATATATTTTATAGCCAATGAAGGCAATCAGTTTAGAATGACTTAGAATGAATTTATCAAAAAGGTAAAGCATATACATGCTGGCATATTTAAAGAATGTATCGTAATACTATTATTCAAAATAATTGAAAATGTATTAGGCATAATTAAATTTTAATTCTATAAATATACTTTAATATTCTTTACATCTTTAACAATCTAGATGTTTTATCTCACAATCAACCGGCATTTCAAAGTACAACTATGAGTAGGATTGGTTCTGAGGCAGCTATGGCTGTAGATGGGAATCCTGCAACTTGTGCGATGACTGATACATTTGGTTCTAGTAGTAGTAAAAGTGATAGGGCTTGGTGGTACGTGGATCTGGGTAATATCTCCAGTGTATACAGCATTAGGATACAGTTTCTGGACATGGGTGAAGTTTATGGCAAGTTTAAGTATTCAATTTAGTAATCATATCGCTAATTTGTTGAATTTTCTAGCATCATCCTGTTTATTCATTTTTTTAAATGTAGTAAAACAGAAAAAAAATGTCTCTATGTTCCACTTTTGACATTTCATTTAAAAGCACTATTTTTTGCTCAAGTATCATTATTTTGATAATATTATATCTAAGAGATTTTTTCCCACCTTACCATTTTTATACAATAACATAAAACAAAATTGCAGAATTATTATTATTTTTTAAAAGTATATTGTATTTACATTCGCTGTGTTTTTCTACTAAGCCTATTATGAAATTGATTTCAATACCATTTTCGTGTGTACTCATGGGTGGAAAGATACACGGAGAAACGCGCGTTAACGTGACGTCACAATGAGGCTACAGCAATGTTAGTAAAAGTATAACGATATTGGACTTCGAGAAATACAAATATTGACTATATTTTTCTGGTGAATTCAAGCATTGAAAATGTAAATATAAAGAATTCTAAGTTAAGTGTGAATAATTATTTTTAAGTTAACCTTTCCATGTGCAGATAACAACACTTTTTAGATAAAATATTGATATTCATTTTGATTTATGGGTGATTAAATTCTAGAACATTTTAAAACAGCATTTAAATCTTGATTTAAGCGTATCATTTTCCTTAATTCTAGAGCCAAGATTTAAAAAAAGAAAAGATACCAAACGGCAGTCTTTCAAGGAAAGAAAAAAACTTATAGATCTTGTGCATTTGTTAACTTATGCGTTATTTGTGTAGTTTTGAAAACTTAAATTTTGAAAAATATTAACATTTTTATAAAATTTCTGATAAATAATGAAATTTTTATTATTGATTTTGAAAAGTACAGGCGTGTTAATTTGTTAAACCATTCTTTACATAATTAAAATCCAATTAATCAATGAATACAACTTCATCCGATGAAAAGTAACAAGCTAAGATATCTATATGTTTCAACCAAGACTTGTAGTGTTCCTCCATAGATCTTGGTACAGTTAACATACGATAAAATATTGGCGATAAATTGTAATGGAAAAAAATATTAAAACTGGTGAATCTTTTTACGCAAATCAAGTTTACATGTAGTTTACACATGCCATTTATTAATAGAAACAGTTCACGCAACTTGAAATTCACTGAATTATCCAATTTCAGTCTATGAAGCAAATTTAATTTTTTTTTATACTATGTGTTTATGAAAAAGGTACGGTTCTAGTTTTATTGTGCTTAGTAGTTTTCTGTTTATAAGAAAATACAACAAAATGCACACAGCATTTTTAGTTTCGCAATTAGCTTTCAAAAATGCATGTAGGAAAATGATTTGCATGATTTCTCTATGAGCAATTCAATGATTCAGATTTAGATTTTTCACATCAGATGCATTTTTTTAAGAATATCAAAGGGCAGGATTTGTACTCTAACCCACCTTTTTCCTTAAAAAGATGTCACTAAATTTTATTCGTAAAAATTAAGCTAAATTCTGCTTCATGCATGGTAATCTTTCAACCAGGCTTTATGGAAAACATGCTGACTTTAACTTATCAATCTTCAACTTCCCTTACTTATGCAACAATTTTCCTTCGTCCCTTGTATACGGGGTACATATCTCTCAGTTGAATAAATACGCAGAAGCATGATCTTTATGTGCACAATATCTGAAAACGAGGTTAACTTTTGAAAAATAAGTTGATGAAACAGGAATATCAGCAGTCTCATTACGCAGCACTGTTAAGGCTTACTAAGAGAAATTAAAAAAAAGTAGAAGTGCAAAATCGGGAATGTTTATTAAAACTGAATTTATTTTTATATAGCTGATATATTATCACAAAACTCAAATACTTATAAAAATAGCATAGTATTACCCACTCTGTATTGTATAAAGTTTGATCCCATCGATGAACATTCACGTAATGAATGCATAGTATGTGTACTGAATGTAGGTCATTAAAAAAAATTCAATATCGCAGGGCATACCCTAGTTGAAATTAAAAATTCAGCTGTTAATTGTTTATGCATACTTATTACTTTTTGGAAAGTGCTGCTGCTTTGAACAAAATTCGCATATTAATAGTTTTAATAGTTCAAATTCAGGTAAATAGGCCCATGTCGAAACATGCCTGACTTTTACCAAATACTTTGTGTACTTATCAAGTCACGCTCTCGTTGAAAGAAAGCAGCAGCACCTTTCAAGTTAAGGAAAGGAAAATGTCCTTTATTTATATTCAAAAAAGGGTTTAGATCTATATAGTGTATGCTCTTGCGAAAGAACGATTTAATGAGGCATCTTGATGTAAAATATACCTAACCTGTACATAAAAACATGACAAAATTAATTAAATACATTCTCTCGAACTTACTGAATAATCCCACTAAACAAAGGATAAGCATTGGTATTAATAGCCTAATAAACATTGATATTAAGGTTCAAAAACCCTCTGCTCACTTATATAAAATGTTGCGTGAACCATAATGATTTTCCAAAAGAAATGTATTTTATAAGTTAAATGCAAACAATTATAACATAGCTTGCGGTATTTAATTTGACAAAAAAGGCAATTCAACTTGGCAAATTTATAAAGGAATAATAGATATTTATGTCATTAAGAGTTATCCCTCTTGTCAGAGTATCAATGAACCTTAATAGTCTATTTAAAACCTATAAATAATATTCTGTTTAATAATAAAACGCAATTTTCATTGTTAAAAAATCCCTCAATCTGCCTCTCACAGCATATGAAATGTCATTGTACGCAAAATGACGTCGTGTTGACAAGTTCATCGCGATCAATGATTTGTTTATTACCAGCTGCATTGGATTTAATCTGTAACTTTTTTAAATGCATTAATACGTTTTGTTGTTGTTTATTATGCTAATACAGTTGAAAGCTGCACATTATTTCATTCTCTGGTATTATGAGGAATACATAAAAGTAATATTTTTGTGTGACGTCACAGTGACGTCACAGTAGACTTTTCCCGTATAAATAAGGCTCAGTCCTCTTTTTATCAGCCTGAACAATGCTGCGTAATAGTTATCATTTTGTAAATGTAAGTTCTATGTTCCTTGTGAGAAAATACAATTTATTATTGAGTCAAATGATGACTGGAGTTTTTGTAAGACCAATATTTACTAACTGAATTGTCAAAAGAGTTTTTATTTATTTCCCGATTATGACAAGGAACACACAGTGTGTGTGACCGATCGTCTGGGGATGCTCACTCCTTATTGCACCTGATCGCTTAATATAAGTTTAATAATTTTCCACACACCATCTTTGTCTAGTCCTGAGGCAAAGGGGAAGATTTGCTGGATTTTCTCTCTATCTCTCAAATTCAACTATAAAAGAGGACGGATTTTTGTGCTACGAAGACGGACCAGAGTTACCTCCCTTAAATTTCACGACCAACTGTTCAGGATATGGCCGATATGTCATCTACTACAATGAAAGGCTTAGTGGAATAAAGTATCCAACAGGATATGAAGCTATGTCTATCTCCCAGTTGTGTGAGGTGATAGTGAGAGGTAATTTTGCAGAGGTCATTTTTTATTTTATTTTATTTCTTCGTTGCTTTCTAATTTAATAAAAAAATATTTCTTTTACAGGATGCTCTTCAGGATGGTATGGGGAAAGTTGTACAATGAATTGTCCTACTAATTGCTTTGGAAAACTATGTGATATTATCAATGGTAAATGTATGAAATGCAAGCCGGGATGGGAGGGAGAAAAGTGTCAATCACGTAAGTTGACTTTACATTTAATTAATTGATGTTCCATACATTAAACTGTACTCGATTTCTAAATGTTTCTCGTCAAATAGCTTGCCTTAACGGATCGTACGGTCAGGAGTGTAACTTTCGATGTTCAGAACATTGCAAAGGTGGAAGGTCATGTGATCACGTGACGGGTAAATGTGTCGAAGGATGTGTTTCGGGATGGACAGGATTGATGTGTAATAAAGGTGAGGTAGAATATGTAAATTAAATCTCTTTTTAAGAATGTACGCAGCATAACTTGCTTAGTTGTATTTTTTCCTGGATATAAGGAGTATTACATGTATAATATTTGAAGTGTGTGCTTCTTTCTAATGCTCTTGTTCACTTCTCCCAAACAAGTTTGAGTAAGGAAAAAAAATAAATAGAATCTATAGATTAATGCTAATAAAATATTCAATATTTGCAATGTTTTATTATCCAAATTAATAATCGTCAATGAAAAAAGTATATCTTGAGAAAGAGTACTTAATCGTAAATGACACACAGTAAGAGCGAATTCTATTAAGTAAAACATTTTCAATGTTTTAATGTTAATGACAACTTACATGTACATGTAAACAAATGCCATTTTATTCTGATGCTAATTAGTTCAATGGAAATTTAACAACCAAGCTCTATGATAAACCTGATGATTTTAACAGTTATTTTTCTGTCGTTACATTTATAACATCCGTTACTTATGCATCAATATACCTTCATCACCTGCATACGGAGTTTATGTATCTCAGTTGATTCGATACGCAAGAGCACTCTCTAAGTATGAACAATTTCTAAAACAATGTAAATTATTGAAATCGAGTTGAATAAACATAAATATCAGCAATCTCGTTCAAAGTCATAATTTCGTAAGTTATATAGTCGATACAATGACCTTGTCAGCAAATACAGTTTATCATTGAGTCTAATGCTGACAAACGTTTTTCAATTTACTAATTGTTAGTCCATCACTTATTAACTAAATTGACCAAGGATTTTTAGCTCTTCTGGTCTTAGACCAGAAGAGCTTATTCGATAGTAATGCATCCGTTGTCAATAAGTAAGAGCGATATATGGTGTCTCAATTGGCCCCTTAAAATGAATATCTTAATTTTACTTTATTTGTAGCTTTAATTTGTACATCTATATATGCAACCTTTATTGGTTATTTCCATTTTGATCAAAATGCTGTTATTTCAGAAATATTACATCATAAAAATAACGTTTTCCCGCCATTTTAGCATATTTTGCATAAAACTGCTTATTTTCAAGCAGTTTTTTTTCCAGAAAATATAGAGCACAGCCTAGAACAAGATTTATATTTTCACCAAAAATGTATCTATCCAATACTAATTAGTGACAAAAAAATTGTGTATGTTCTACACTGCGCTCTATGTTTTCCATAGGAAAAAACATCAAGAAAAAGGCATATTTTTGGCTTTTTTGTTAGATACGCAAGTGAGTTAAGGCTAAATATGGATATTTCTATGCAAATGAGCTGATAAAAAATCATAAGTTGTATATTTTATGTACAGAGAAAGTTCAAAATAATTTTTTTATACATACCAAGTACCCACAGTTTATTAATGCAAGTGCTCATTGTGACGTCATATTATGACGTCATTGTTCTCCCATTCAAGGTAATAAATCATATCAAGAAAATCACTTTGGCGCAAGGGCATGTCCTATATAATTTAAAATGAACAATGTATAATATTAAGGAAAAAATTATAAAAAATAATAAAATTGCTGCACAAATCCTTTGAAATTTCTCAATCGATAAAAAGTTTAGGAAACTTACACTGGACTGTGAATTTATACCCTGTTTAAACTTAAAACTGCACGGATAGTAACTAAATAATTGCAGTGCCAACATTTGTGCAGCAATATCGTATATCCATGGAATATCCTGCGTCTTTTTATATATTGCTTCTTTAAAACAAAATAAGGTATGCCCTTGCGCCGAAGCGATTTTGTTGATATTTCTTATAAACTTGTGTAGTAGAGCTTGATGACGTCATTATATGACGTCATAATGTGTACTGGCTATTGCATGTTGTAGGTGCCTAGAATGTATAAGAAATCAAGTCTTGACATTTTCTATGCAGTAGGTAGAGCAATTATGGAATTTAATTAGATATTTTGCATAGAAACCTCCATATGTAGCCTTAACTCACTTGCGTAGCAAAAATAGCATTATTTCTCATGTTATTTACAGCTAGTGAGTGCATTTAAATGTGAAAAATGTATTGGAAATATTTCTAATATAATCTCTTCTACAAAATAAATATCAATTAAACATATTTGAATGTCATTATAAAATGTTGATTTTTCGGGGGCCAAAATTGGCTCTTATCATATATACTCCTTTCTGTGAAATACTTTTAAAATGCTACTCCTCCTACAGTTTTGGTCTGTTTTCAATATAACTTGGCACACAAGTTGAATTCACTAAAAAAAAAAAATCTTTTTCGGTTTTTTTATTTCAATGAACGGTGTTGCCGTGGTTACTATGAATAGACATTTCTGAAATATACTTTTAAAATGCTACTCCTCCTACATATTTGGTCTGCTTTCAATATAACTGGGTACAAAAGTAGGCTACACTAAGATATATAACTCTTTTTGTAAATTTTTTATTTCGATGAATGGTTTTGCTGTGGTTACTAAAATAGAAATTTCTGTGAAATACTTTTAAAATGCTACTTCTCCTTGATTTTCGTCTGATTTCAATATAAAATTGCACACAAATAGACTACACTAAGATACATCTTTCTGTATATCGGTTTTTAATTCGATGAACGATGTTGCTGTGGTTACTAAAAACAGTTATTTCTGTGAAAAACTTTTAAAATGCTACTCTTACAGTTTTGGTCTGATTTCAATATAATTTGGCACACAAGTAGACTACACAAAGGCACATAATTATGTGTATCAATTTCTTTTATTTTCACGAACGATGTTGCCGTCATATAATTTGATATGCAAGTATTCTACACTTAGATACATTATTATCAATTATGTATTTTTTTATTTTGATGAACAATGTTGCCATGGTAACTAAATTGAGAATTCTGTAAAATTTGATTAAAAGCTTCTTCTACATTCGTCGTGTTATCGTAATCTTGCCAAAAAGAGACCTAATCAAGAATAAGTATTCTCTAATTGTTGCTTTTGTAATGTTTATGTCCCAACTACTACTTTTTTCTTCCTTTTTTGTAAGTTTAAACCAGTAGAGTTACAGTCTCGACAGAGACCTCTGGTTCAATTATTTCCCGATCATGACAAGGAGCACACGGCGGGTGCGACCGTCGGCAGGGGATGCTCACTCTCCACTGCACTTGATTCTACATCTGATGTTTTGGTGGTGCGTGTTTGCTCCTCTCCTGTTTTGTATTGTTTAATGGACTTTGGATCTTGAATACTGTTCGTTATTTCCATATGTTTTATGTACATGTATTATCAAATACATGGTAAAGACACTCTAAAATAGTTTCAATTTTGTTGAATTTATTTGATATCTTGGAATAAAATCACGAATTTTTTTTTTTAACATATTGATTCATTGAACCATCGTATTTACGTGTAACTAACGAAAGCACGTCCCATCTGCTTACTAGCAGACATTGACTCCAACATATTAGAATAATTCCACAGTAACTAATCTAAATCTTTAATTTAAGAATCACATGATTTTTTTAAGTGATACTAATGTAAAAAATGTATTCTGCAAGAAAAGTTCATTTAGATGTTTTAATATAAAAACCATTTATGCATAGAATCATTTTTTTTTCACAGTATGAATTCTCCATAACTGCAACGGTGTGAAAAAACAAATTGCAAAAAATTGCGCGTTAGTGCGTAATAAAACTTTGTTTGCTCATTCCGTTGAAGTTATGTGACAATATATTGCAAGAAAAGATAATGATTCAATGCTTTTATTTACATTAGTTTTGTTAATTCTTTCCTTGACTGGAAGTAAGCTTTACCATTTAAAATCAGTGTATTATTCCTTGGTTAAGGTATAATTAATGGAAGAGTAGTTGAAACATCCTATGTCCAATGCGCGCATGGATTTTGATTTGGCTTACACATTTTATGACGTTGCACTTCCAACGGCATTTAACGTTTACAACGTCAAAGTTAAATACCTACTTAAGCCTTTTGATCCCTTGTCTGTGTTATGTTGTTTTGAATGCCGTAGCTATCCTAACACTTTTTAAGCAAAATATATATTGAATGTAAATATATACATATATAAATATATTATTAACATATAAAATTAAATGTTATGACAAGATTTAGCTGCACCATATTTTTCAAAAACAGCTTGTGACAAGGGACGGTATGGCTTGAATTGTTCTTCCACCTGCAGTGGACATTGCTTATATGACAAACCTTGTAACAAGGAAACTGGGCACTGTGACTCCGGATGTAGTGTTGGATATACTGGGGATTTATGTCAAAATGGTAAGTTTTAACAATAACTTTCATAGAGTGTACAAAATAGAACTGTGATGCTCATGAATTAAAACTTGTATGTGTCGTTTTTTAAAACTCTGAAAAGTTGAACCATGATGTGTAGAAATTATTATGAACTACCGGTATATACCAGAATGCATTTGTCTCTCATTTTTTGCTTACATACACAGAATGTACACCTGGGTGGTTTGGAGAGGGCTGTAAAGAGAGCTGTAGTGGACACTGTGCTGATAAGGCTGTTTGTAATTACCTAAACGGAATTTGTCCTCATGGATGTGCCAACGGGTATACCGGACAAAATTGTACCACACGTAATCTATGGCAACTCTAATAATCAAACTATATTAAGGGTGTTAAGAAAGTCTGTCACATGATAAATATTTTCAAAACTTTCAAAGTAGTGCTAAACTATAGAGGTGAATTTTAAAATCTTTTTTCTTCATAGTTTATATTGCATCGTACAAGCTGCTGAACGTAGGTATAAGAACAACAGATCACTTATTAGAAGAATAGGTTCGCCCTTTAGAAATTTTTCACCGACTTGATAAATTTTGCAAGTATTTGAAGGAATGTTTCGACCTGTGTGCTTTATACGTATCACTCATATATGCGTCATTTCTAATATATTCTGCATAGACAGCATAAGTTTTAACATTTGCCTCCCCTTTATTGATTCAACAAAAGGCAATTAAAACCTTATCAGTAGCAAAAATGAATTCTGTAAACATGAAATATCACGAAATGTGAACATCTTCTCATCGTATTTCTTTTTGAAAATATAAGAAAAATGTGGAATGAAGTCTCTTAACACCCTTTAGAAAACAAATGTTCACTTTTAATTATTTAGAAATATTTACAAATGCTGATTCAATACAGAGAGACATTTTCAATTTTATCCTATATTTTAGCCTGTTCTCTCAAACACTACGGTAAAAATTGTTCCAGTTTATGTTCTTTAAAATGCGCGGGTACATGCAGACATACTGATGGTTTTTGTACATGCAGTCTTGGTTGGATGGATTCTCCTAATTGCAACACAAGTATATTTACATACTTATTTCTGGTACATTTAACACTGTTTTATAATGCAATGTTGTGAATTTCGAAAAATACCTAAACATATTCCTCTAGATTGTCTTTCTAACTTATTTTGCGAAAACACTAGCAGAACAGTTTGTTTCAATACCTTCTGTACAATAATATGTATTTTCCACTTATATTTAAAAAAAAACAGTCATAAAATTAAGTTTTTTTGAACACAGAATCGGAAGCTTTATTTTTTTCATATCTTCTATGGGATAAATATGCTGGTTTTAAAGATATTTCACAAACAGCTTAACATATCTGAAATGATAATAATTGATTGTTGTTATGCAAGTACTGTATTCAGTTGATGACTTATTACATTATGGTTCATTAAAAAAAAATAAAACGAAACATTATAACATTAGAATGCCCTGACAACAAATATGGAGAAGATTGCATTCATTCATGTAGTTCAAATTGTGTGAACGGGACCTGCGATAGATTTAACGGTAGCTGTACTCAGGGATGTAAAGGAACATTCTACGGTGATATTTGTGATCAAGGTGAGTCAAAACACAGGAATTTATCTCTGGTAATTAGCAAAAAAAAAAGATTATTCATGTGCATATGAATTCTTAAGACTACACCACAGAAACTTGGCATATATTTTGCAAATTATTATCGATTTGTAAAATGATTTTCCATTGCATTTCATTCATTAGCATTGTTTCATATCTTTCATATCATTTTCAAGGAGGTGGAACTTTTCGTCTTCAATCTCAAAGTTCGTCTGCTCAACCACTTACAATTGGCGCAGTTTTAGGTGCATTTACCTTTGTGATTATCCTTCTGGCATTGCTTGCTCTATTTATGCGGTAATTTATTTTTTCTCTGGAATCTTCATGGATTTTTCTAAAGAGTAATTCAAAATTTGCAAGACAAAAATGATACAAATTAAATGCAATTTATCTAAAATTTATGATTTTAAAGATGGGACATTCTGTGACCAATTATTATAGATTACGACGAAGAATACACAAGGAAACAAGTAGAGCCTCTGTATCTATACAAATGTCACCTGTAGCATCCCAGAAACAACAAGCGGAAGGTAAAGGTTTAACTTTGTATATATTCATAGAAATACTTTTTTTTCATATGTTTCTTTTTTAAGATAAATGAATAAAACTTCTTTTTAAAAATGTTTTGATTTTGACTTTCCGTCCCTCTAACATTCGGCTTGAAAAAGAATAAAATAGCAAAATCCTTGAAAAAAAAATAAATGTAGGCAAAAAAATCACGGTTCTTGCCCAATAACAATGCGTTTTGCAATTGAAATGTAAGACAAAGGTATTTCCTTTTAACTTTTGATTTATGAATCCCTTAAAATGTTGATTTGGGTGCAAAAGTATGCACACTTTTTACACCAATTAAAAAAAAACCACAAACCGTAACAAAAATACCTTAGTTCACTTGTGCTCAATACTGTGCAAAACTCACCGTGAAATTTTGCTCTAGATTTTTTTTTGAAGATTTATAACCGTAATATGACCTAAATTACATCTTAATGATTATTATTTTTTTTTTTTTTGGGGGGGGGGGGGATACCTAAACTTTAATGTACAGGTTATTTTAGACATCAGGAAATAGCTTTAAGGATTTCAAAAAATTAAATATATCTGAATTTCATAATGAATATACTACGATTTACTATAATGAAAAGTTTGATCTACTGTAGTTAACTACTGTTTACTGTAAAAGTGAATTATAGTTACATGTAAGCACGATACTTTTTATTTAGGAAAGGTTCGTTTTCCTTCAGTGCAAGCTAAATTTATTTATTAAAATTACAATTTTTTTAGCACTTCCGTCAAAGAAAAGAAAAGAACAAAATAATCATCAATTACATAATGTTGAAGAGAAAGCTAAGAGAGGTCCCCCTACAAACAAAACCGTTCTTACAAGAAATCTACAGGCAATCATAGCCAAAATGTCTGCTGCTGAAAACGCTGGATTCAAACACGAATATCATGTATGATACATAAAATAATGCAATATCTAATCATTTAAATTTGGTAAGTTAAATATATCTTTGGTATGTATATGTCATTCAATGAATCAAATGAGTGAATGACATTTTTGAGCATATCTTATGACAGAAATTAAGACACTCTTTGACATGCCTTAACACTTTCTTGAATTTAATAGGAAATTCCTAGAGGAGAATTGTTTCCCTGTGACGAAGCTAAGAAGCCTGAAAATAAACCTAAAAATAGATATACAACAACATTTCCGTGTAAGAATAACATTTAAAACACATTGTGCATCTGTAAAAAAAATTCTGATGTTTTGTTAGTTAAATGTTTATTGAAAGATAAATTAACTTCTTTATATATATATTCATAGATAACCACTCTCGAGCTGTACTGAAAACCAATTCTCCTAATGAAAATGACTACATCAATGCAAATTATATCGAGGGAAGTATCATTAGATTCAATGCTACTTTAAGTTCGATATCAAACTGTTAAAAAAGAAAAAAGAATCATTTTTTAAATGGTTCAATCTAGCAATCCAACATTGTTTTACCACGAAACATTATAACCAATCAATCTTTTCATTTTCCTATTCACAATGCTTTTACCGTATATCTCAATAAATCCTAAAAAGTATCTACTTGAGATGATTTGACTTTAATAACTTTAGACGTTTTAGTTAATTTTGTATATTTATTGATTTCTACGTCCATAGGACACTCAGAGTAATCGAAAGTATATTGCAACTCAAGGTAACTTTATTTCCTTGTGCGATTATATTTGTTTATTCACAATCTAATCTAAATATATTGATAAATCACAAAATAAAAACTAATAAATGTTTTTTTTTTCTAAAATCACAGTTTAAAAACAAAGATTACATTTTGTTCTACTTGTGAGAGATTTTTGTGATGTTGCTATTTCAAATAGACTAATTAATGTTCTAGGCCCAAAACCAAAAACAGTGGTGGACTTTTGGAGAATGATTTGGCAAGAATGTGTGAACACTATTGTCTGTCTGACCAATCTTAAAGAAGGGACAAAGGTTTGCTGATAAATAAAAATGAATGCACAAATATTCACAGTTCATAGTATATACTGCTTTTGTTGAAGTAATCTAGATAACTTCCGGTTCTGTGTGTGAATACAAAACTCTGCCTTATGACTGTCACTTCAATTTTGGTAAAAAAGAAAAATACTTTTCCATGTCATTTATCCGTAACAGTATTTTAAGTGGTTTGATGTTTAAGGTGCTAGTACAAAAACGTTTCGGTGTGCACCTCAAGACAGAGTGTCATTGGCTAACCTATAATTAGATAATGCGTTTTAACAATGAAAACTGTCAATGGAGAATTCATTCAAAAAAGATAAGGAGGAATCTTTTACAAAGAAAAAAAATCATACACGCAATATAGAAATGTAGTCAAAGAAAACAACATGTAAATTTAAGTGATATGTATTTCTCATATCACATCCTTGAAGTAAAGTTTTGGTAACAACTTATCCATCATTTTAAACATAATTGAAAAACAACTATGCATATGTGTAGTAGGAATGATTTTGATTTATGTTTAGCTACAATTTACCTCATAATTTATTTTTACAGCATCAATATACTCTTTGATTCAGAGTCATCGTCATTTTTCCATGGTAGTTTAAGGGAAATGGTTGTAGTTAAGTACATGTATAATATTATTATTTTGTAGATTAAATGTACTCAATATTGGCCAAATCTTAACGACAAAATGCAGCATGGTAATTTTATAATCAGAAATCTTGGAGAAAAGGTATACGCCAATTACACATCAAGACGATTTAAAGTGTACAACAACATGGTAAGAAGGAGTCGTGTATCATGATAGCCAATAACCAATTTAAATTATGAAGTGGGGGCATCAAATATTATTGAGAACATGTCCTTTTTCTTGAGTATCCCTTTCTTATCCCTTGACATTGGAGTTTGACTTTTACTTTGAAATTTCAATCTTCCAAAAAATCAAACATTTGGGGTTTAAGTGTTTTGCAAAACAACTTGTGCTTTTATTCATTGCTGTGCTATATATATTTTTGTGTTAATTCAAAAAATAGTCTCGAAGTATAATCAAATAAAATCCCCCCCCCTAAAAAAAAACAAACAAACAAACAAACACACACACAAAAATACATACAAATGGTTCGATCAAATATAAATGTACTTTGTACAATATTGTGAGCCATATAAGCAGTGTATTTCTGAATTTTCTTTCATCGAGGAACTGATTTTTACTGAAAATGTAGCTAATGCATCCTTATAAACAGGTCTGTGAAACAGTATCATTCCTGGCCAGATCAAAAGTACTACTTTTGCTGTAACACACCATGAACATCTAAAAATAATATCAAAGTTCATTTCGAAATACAAATATTCTGATTATAAGGAACACACACACAAAAGAAGAAATTTGGATGACATTTTATGTTTAAAGCAAGGAGATAAAATAAAAAAAAAGTATGATCTTTCTCGAGCAAAACTAGAATCAAGATACTTATCTGGAATATTTTCAATCTTTGAACAATGTAAGTCCTCCATAAAGATTGTTTATAATATCCGTAGATTTTTAATTGGATTTCATTGTACCTATTATAACGTTGAGAAATGCATCAAGACAAATTTCCACTTTTTCCCCCCAAAATCCGTTATGTTTATATAACTTGTTGCGATGACTTTAGCACAATAAGAATATAAGAAAGCGATTAATTGAATTATCGACATTACGCCGTAAAAGACCGGTCCAAAAATGATATCCACGCGGGCACAGGTCTTATATACTCCATTTGGAAGGGAAGATGCCATTTTACAATAAATGCGCATGCTCATGTTTATTTTTTATTTGATGAAATGTTAATCGATCAGTGTATGCATACATTTTTTTCTCCAAATATTAGCGATTCCAATAAGACAACTATAGATAATAAAACAATGCTTATATTTTATTTGCTTTTAATAAATGATACATATCAGTTCCAAAAGGTGAATTTAACGTTTGTTTAATGCAGTCGTAATTTTAGGCACATGTATGGAAGATCCTAAGGATGCAAAAAGTTAAATTATTGACTTTATTTATTAATTTTTTCTGACTTCTACGTCGGAGCAGCTAGGGGTATCTAAATCTATAAACTCATAGAATTGACCAATATTTAGGATTTTAAGCAGCTAGTCTAGCATATTTTTCAATATTTAATCTTTATTCAGCACTACAAGTGATTGAACCTTGAAAGCACAATAAATACAAGCATTAAACCTCTAAATTGAATGCTTAATTGTATGATTGATTGTTTGATTGACTTATGTTGATTAACATGTCATTTGAGAATAATGAAACTTTCAATTACGAAACATATTGTTAAAATACTTTATAAAATACATGTATGTGTGTTTTGAAAAATGAATCCCTTCTTTATATAGGCTAAATACAGCTGTATGCAACGCGTAAGAGATTAAATAGAAATGTGTTTATTTTAAGTTAAAAAGACCTTACATAACAGTACTACTGTAGATTCCAATATAAACGCGTGAAATGAATTATATCGTGATTTCGCAAGAAGCGCAACACGCGAAATAACATTACCCGCCTTTATTTTTATGATGCTGAAATATATGTAAAATCTCTTGATCAACCATTCATTCGCGATTATTATTCGCGCGATTTGCCGTAAAAGAGCCCATTCGCGATAATAAGTAGTTGCGAAAAATAAGGAATCAACAGTAATTTTTAGGGACTGCATTGAAGAAAATGTCATTATTTTCTGT